GATGGCACTATAGCACTTAAAGGTGGTGTCAAACGACATTATTTCTCCAGGGTAGATGTATCCAGATGCTTTGTTAATTGAGGTATGTCTGTAAAGCTTTTGGGGCCTGGTAGGTCCATATCTACATAGTGACATGGTTTTAATTTGTCTTAAATGGTTTGGTTGGTTTTCAGTGGGCTTGTTTGAGCTTGTCAAATTGTTTAATAGGCCTTTACTCTGTTCAAATGATCTTTTTGTTTTACTGTTTATATTGCTTTAAATTGGTGAAATTGATTTTTACTGTATGCTGTCCCCCTAGTCTCCGTGAAGCAGGGCAGGATATAAATATTTTAATAAAATAGATAAATAGATAGAACAGGCTGCTTACTTCCTAGATCCAAGGTAACATGAGGGAAGTAATAGTACCACTCTGTTCTGCTTTGGTCAGACCTCACTTGAAATATTGCGTCCAATTCTGGGCACCACAATTCAAGAATGATGTGGGCAAGCTGGAGCGTGTCCAGAGGAGGGTGACCAAAATGGCAGAAGGTCTGGAAACCACCAAACTCTCTGAGGAGCAACTTAGGGAGCTGGATATGTTTAGCCTGGAGGAGAGAAAGTTAAGAGGTGACAGGATAGCCCTGTTTAAATGTTTGAAAGGATGTTATTGTTAGCAAATATGAAATTAATAAAATTTTGGGACATATGTGGAATTCCCTCTATGACCTGAATTGATCTCTATGGGATGTCAGCCATAATCCTCTAGATGGCAGGGCAGGTAGGTCCGGGGAGGCCCTGCCCAAAAAACTGGAAAATTCCCTATCAGACAAGTTTGGGAGTTGCTAAAGGGGAAAGACCATTATCCCAAAAGTCAACGTAATAGGACTTGTTTGTCCTGAGTCTTACTCCTGATGGGGGCAGTGATCAGATTTGACTGCACCCTCTTTCTCCAGCCTTCCTTCCTTGATTGAATCGAAACCAAATGCATTATTTAGACTGGTCTCACACCTATGTTTAACAAAGCTAAGACAATCAATGCCTTTGTCCAGGCTTCAGCCAAGCCATTTAGTCAATAGCCAGAAGGTAGAAATTTCCTATTTAAACCCTGAGATTTTTAGGCTCCACATGCTATCTTGCATGCTGACTCCATGTCAGTCTGTGCTCTGATCATAGCTCCCTCGGCCATCCCTTCGCCCCATTTTTGCAGGCCGTGCATCATCATCACTATCATCAACATCCACAGCGGATCCTGGAGAAGCCTTCAGAAGTGAGTACCTCCCTTGGTCTGGCCCATCTCAAGCTATTCCCGCTTTCACCCCCTTTATTTCTAAGTGTGCAGTGTGTGTGTGTTATATTGGTGTGCTTGCTGTTTTCCCCTTGTAATAAATATTTAGACTTTAATTGAGGAAACTTGCCTCTGCGTCATCCATTGTGAGATTCCTTAGTCCTCTGGTATACATATCGGTACCTGGTCTTGCAGGGCTTTGTTAGGACCCCACTCTTGCATATTTGAGCTAATTATAAATTCCCCTAATTAGATCCTTCCTAACATTATGTTGAAGATGGAGCAAGCTTCCAGAGATTAGGACTTGGAGCAATGGATTCAAACTACAGGAAAAGAGATTATACCTCAACATTAGGAGGAACTTCCTAACAGTAAGAATTGTTCAATAGTAGAAGATGCTGCCTTGGAGTGTGGTGGAGTCTCATTCTTTGGAAGTTTTTAAACAGCAGTTGGATGGCCATCTGTTGGGAGTGTTCGATTGTGAATTTCTGCATTGCATGGGGTTGGACTGGATGGTGGTTGAGGTCTTTTCAAACTCTAGGTTTCTATGAGTCTATGATTCTAAATATGTTTGAATAGCGGTAGAGCTGTTATTGAAGCCCTGCCATTCTAGTCCAACACTCAAACCACTGCACCACGAAGGCCCAGTAGAGAGGTATTGCATTCATGCCCTCAGTCTGCTTCACTGAGCAATCCGGTTTGCTACTCTAGGAACCAGCATGCTGAGTTGGGAACACCGTTGCCAGGGCTGTCTCAAAACAATTGTGTCCTCCACCCAGCACTTTCAAAAGTTAACTTTAAAAACAACAACCCTAGACTGAATTCTCTGGCCAGCATGGATCCTAACTAAAGAACAGTCTGGGGGAATTCCAAAAATGATGAGACAAATAAAGTAACTTTCCCAACCTCTGCCTCAGATGGAGCAGCAAATACAATCTGTTCCCACCCAAATTAAGGCACTATGCAAAATTATCCAAGGCATTTTGGCACACTGGGCAGGGGAAAATACAACCCTCCAAGGACCTCTTCCTACATTTTTGGTAATAATAATACAAAAGCAAGCAAAGAACAAGTTGTTGCCCTTTTATGACATCCAAAATCTCCTGGAATGGCAGCTCTTTTTCTGTTTTTTGGTAGCCCCAGCCCTGGCCATTCTCCAGATCCAGCAGGAATCTTATGTTCTTCTTGAAGCTCAGTGCACTCATCTATCACTTTAACGGCGCTTATTAAGGTATCTAGTTTCAAACTGAAACATTATGTAATGTCATGTCATTTTTAATAATGGCTGATGTGTGGTGTAACAAAAATCTGAGGTCTATTTGTTGCCTAGACCCATCTAGCGAACGATCAGTGATTTTACATTAATGATGAGGTTTCTTTAGAGTTTCTTTACAACATCCAGATCAGTAGTAGTGCCATCCTATTCTGTTCTGGTCAGACGTCACCTGGACTCCAGTGTACAGTTTTTGGCACCATGATTCAAGAAGGATGTGGACAAGCTGGAGTATGTCCGGAGGAAGGCAACCAAAATGTTGAAAGGTCTGGAAACCATGAAGCCCTATGAGGAGCGCCTTAGGGAGCTGGATAGGTTTAGCCTGGAGAAGAGAAGGTTAAGGATTGACATGATAATCATGTTTAAATATTTGAAGGGGTGTCATGTTGAGGATGGAGCAAATTTGTTCTCTGCTCCTCCGGAGACTAGGACACGGAGCAATGGATGCAAACTACAGGAAAAGAGATTCCACCTCAACATTAGGAAGAAGTTCCTGACAGTAAGAGCTGTTGGACACACTTCTCAGAGTGTGGTTGAGTCTCCTTCTTTGGAGGTATTTAAACAGATGTTGAATGGCCATTTATTGAGAGTGCTTTGATTGTGTGTTCCTGCATGGCAGAAGATGGTTGGACTGGATAGCCCTTGGGATCCCTTCCAATGCTATGATTCTGTGGTTCTATGATTCTCCCAAGGAACCATTGCAGTGTAGTGATTTGAGTGTTGGACTGAGACTTTGGAGGACAGGGTTTGAATCCTCACTTTAGCATAAAAACCCTCTGAGTAACCATGGGCATGTCACACTCTCTCAGCCTCAGAGGATGGCAATGGCAAACCTCCTCTGAAGAAACATGCCAAGAAAACCCCTTAGGATTGCCATACATTGGAAACAAGTTGAAGGCACACAACAATAAACAAATGATCTCACTAGTGCTTCTCTCTCTCTTGGCTATACAAAAGGTTGTTAAGATACATCTTTTCAGTCTGTCTTTCTAAATCAGAAAGTTGAACAGTTGAACAATGTCTGGAGGGGGCTGGGGGCAGCAGCACCCATTTCCATCCCCACACACGCCTTGCGGGCTACACCTGCCCATTCTTTTGGAAAAAGGAAGGGTCTGGATGGTCGGTTCTTGTTTTGAACAATGGCTATTGGCAGCCATCTTGAGGCATGTGGAGGAGGCTGTGTGAAATAGCTATTAAACCCCCAGAAGCCTCTAGAAGTACAATTCTTAAAAATTATTTTCCAGAGTTGGTGGGGCTGTGGGAACTGAGCCCTCTGGTATACATATCGGTACACATTGCAAGTGGTCTTTGAATTAATAGGGTTCCCACCCCTACTTCAAATAGCTCGTAACTTTGTTTTAATATTTCACTATAGTTTAATTTTCTCTCTTTTTCTTTTCTTACTGGTGCTTTGTTTAGCTTGGCTTTCCCCCTTACTTTGGTGACTTTTGAAGAAACGTGGCATGAAAGCATTAAAAAATAGTGAAGAAATGAAACCATGTAAAGCAGGGTTGGGCAAGCTGGAGAGGCCATTTGGCTCCAAGACCCATGTGGCTGTTGGAAGATATTGCACAGCCCAGCATGAAGTGAAGACAACCAGGCCTGGATGGCAACAGAATCACGCATGGTGCTGTCACCACCACACAAACCACAATCCCCCTTGGCCTTCATAGTTTTCCTTTGGCTCACAGCTCTTTCTCGAAGGGCACCGGAGTTAATATCTCTGGCTTTCACGAGGCGGAGAGAGAAAACAGATTTCTCAATCCACTGGTCAGACCCCAAACAGTCATGCATTCACAATGAAAACCAGCTGCCTCTTTCTGCAGAAGTTACTTCCTAAGGAAGCTGGTCATTTTTGGGAAGGATGGAAATGGGTGAAGTGTGAAGGGGATTCCTTTCGCTCCCTGTGACGTCTTTGGGAGAGCCAGCATTCCAGGTCGCAAAGTAAGTTCTGACCAAAGGACCAAGTTTTGGGAACAACTGCTCTCATGAACCAAGTGCTTCTTTGATTCCCGAAAGCAGAATTTTCTGATGAAGTCCTCGACTCAGTCTGCATAGTAAAATGTTTTTGGCCAGTAATCAGCTTTGGCACTTGATCTCAATTGCTTCCCTTCCCTTGGAACGTTTTGTCTTTCCTTGAAACACACATTACCTTTGTTTTCGTTGTGTGCCTTCAAGTCGTTTCTGATTCCTCAGTGGATTTCCATGGCCAAGTGGGGATTTGAACCCTGGTCTCCACAGTGAAAGTCCAATGCTCAAACCACCACACCATGCTGGCTCCTAAGTAGGTACATGTGTGTATGTGTGTTGTGTGCCTTCAAGTCATTTCCAATTTATGGTGACCCCCTAAGGTGAGCCTGTCATGGGGTTTTCTTGGCAAGATTTGATCCGAGAGGGTTTTGCCGTTGCCATCTGCTGAGGCTGAGAGCATTTGGTTTGCCCAAGGTCACCCAACAGGTTTCATGGCTGAGATGGGAATCGAACCCTGGTCTCTACAGTGATAGTCCAACACCCAAACCACCACACCACACTGGCTTCTAAGTATGTACATGCATAGTTGTAAATCAGAGAAGGGAATCATGCAACTCTCCAGATGTCATTGACATGCAGGTCCCATGAATCTTAGCCCCCCCACACAATGGTGAGGAATGCTGGGAGTTGGAGTTTAGTAACGTTGGGAGGACTGTTCCTGAAAGGGAAGAAAAGGGAGATGTTCTGAGTTAAATGGAAACAAAACTGGCTGCAACCTTACATTGGCATACTTTCCAACTGTCCCAGTTTGGGAGGGATAGTCCCAATTAATCCTCTGTCATCCCATTTTTCAGCTGCTTTTAAGATGTCCCTGTTTTTCTCTCTTCCTCCCACTTTCTCCCCTCCTCCTGGTTTACCTCAGTTGCTGCAAACTGAGTTGAGCATCCAAGAGTACTTTGCATCCAGTTAACTGAGCAGAGGGAGAGGAAAGGAGGAGGCAGAATCTTGCCCTTCTCTGTAGACTGTCCTGGTTTCCACATTATACAAATAAAGCAGTTTGATACCACTTTAATTGCCCTGACTCTATACTATGGAACCCTGGGATTTGTTGTTTGGTGAGGTGTTCAGCCTGGTCTGCCAGAGAGTTCTGGTGCCTCGCCAAACTACAAATCCCAGGATTCCACAGGATGTAGCTGTGACAGTTTAAGTGGAGTCAAACTACTTCCATTCTGCAGTGTGGCTACATCATCCAAGAGCAAACGTTGCTCTTCCTCATTAATAACGTTCTCCCGCTTGACCACACTCTGAAGTTGCTTGACCACATATGTCCCGGTTTTCATTTATGATATGTTGGAGGGTATCTTTACATTATATGTGGGGTCCATTTAGTCCAATGAGGCTTTCATTCATGACACAGGATGGCAGCCTAAGTTGCTTGCTTGTAGTACCTTTCCCCAGATCTCTAATTTAAAATGATGGGTTGACCAGAATAAGACTTATGGTCCATATTTAGCTATGCCATATAATAATTTAATTATCCTTGCTCTTCTTTTGGAGAAGGCCTTCAGCCATCTTAAACTGTGTTTTCGCCATCTCAAAGAAAGTGCAAAGGTAGGTTTACAGCTGAACATTAAGAAAACAAAAATAATGACCACAGATGATTTACATACCATTAAACTAGACAATGAAGACATTGAGTTAGTAAATGATTTCCTTTACCTTGGCTCAGTAATTCATCAAAATGGGGATTGTAGTCAGGAAATCAGAAGACTAGCACTTGGAAGGGCAACTATGAAGGAACTAGACAAGATCCCGAAGTGTAGAGATCTAGCATTGAATACTAAAGTTAGGATGGCCCATGCCATCGCATTTCCCATTTCTATCTATGGCTGTGAAAACTGGACAGTGAAGAAAGCAGACAGGGGAAAAATTATTCCTTTGAAATATGATGCTGGAGAAGACTTTTACAGATAGCATGGACTGGTAAAAGACAAATGAATGGGTTTTAGAGCAAATCCAGTATGAAGTCTCCCTAAAAGCCAAGATGCCTAAACTGAGATTGTCACATTTTGGCCATATCATGAGAAGACATGACTGCCTAGAAAAGACAATAATGCTTGGCAAGCTAGAAGGTAGATGGAAAAGAGGAAGGACCTTATCCCACGCTGCTCTCAAAAGTGGCAAGAAACCGATATGAGCATCATTGCAGTACTATAGCGCTAGTATAATATGGCGCTAGCGCTATAATAGCGCTATGGATAAGGTAGTGCTATTGCAATGCCCGCTGAAACCGACATTCAAAAGAACCCGAATGATGCTGCATTCTGAGCGGTTTCTTGTTGGATTCTGAGCGATGTCGTGTGATCACCCGGAAAACTATAGCGCTATAGCGCCTGATTCTTAGCGGATTCTGAGCGACGTCGTGGGATCACCCGGAAAACTATAGTGCTATAGCGCCTGATTCTTAGCGGATTCCGAGCGACGTCGTGGGATCACCCGGAAAACTATAGCGCTATAGCGCCTGATTCCATGTGGATTCTTGCTGCTTTTGGCCCCGTGGGATAAGGTCCTAAGACTGCATTCCAGATGGAGAGTTTCAATGAAGGAAGCCTCAGTGACCCTGAGTTTGCAAGACCTGAGCATGGCTGTTGAGGATAGGGTGACTTGGAGGTCTCTTATTTATAGGGTCACCATGAAGTTGACTTGGTGGCCATTAGCAACAACAACATACAAATCAACATAGAACCAAGATATGATCACCACAAACCATTCTGTTATCTCAGTGAGAAACAAAGATCAATAGATTTCTGGAGGAAGCAGTTGGTCATCTTGGCCAGAATCCTACAAAACCATTTTTTAAAAAAAGCAGTGGAACTGAAATGATGTTGAGGGTTTAAAAATAAATCTTTTAAAATTATAGCTGAAACTGGAACAGAGCATCAACTGTTAATTGCCTGATTCTCTCCTTTGCTCTGAATCAGCATGGTTCTTCTAACTTTTTTATGATTTCAAACTCTCTGTCCAGATGCCTTTAGGACTGACCTTTGCTACTAAATGGGTATGTTTTTTTGTTTAAAGGGTGCTTGTCTAGTCCAGATGAGAGAGTGGCCTGTGTTTGGTATCATGTACGTTTGTAGGTAAATCCCTCCGGTTATTAATTTTGGTTGGAATCTAGGAAACAAGGAATGAGCTAATGAAGGCTCCAGGTTTTTTTTACCCTTTTCAGAAAGCAAATCAGACTTGGATGGAGGGATGTGATGCGTCATGATGGGCTCAGTTCAGGCTGGGATTAGACCACAGATTTAAGACACTGTTCTGGGAAAAGAGAAAAAGAGCGAGGGAGGGAGGGAGAGAGCTGAGATTAGCTTGCCTTCATTGTTTTCCAAAGCCTGTTGGCAACCCAGCCCTAGCAAAGTTTATGCTATAAAGCTTTAATTCAAGCATGATGGGACTTTGGAAGTGCTAATTGCCTTCCCTTTTAACATTTCTGATGAAAGATATGCGGCTTTGTCTGAATGTTTCTCTCTGTATTCTGTTTCCTTCCCTTCTGCTACTGTTTCTCCAAGTATGGTTTGAATTTTGCTCAATACGAGACTCCCCCTCCTCTTCTTTCAGCCCATGTGTGTCTTGTTGATATCCCCTTTCAGAGGGCTCCAACGAGAGAGACTGGGATTCCGGGGACAAAGTTTGCTGGAGATGGGATGGAACCAGTACCCACCTTGCTTCTCTCTTCTTTATCCAGTTTTTACATCTTAAGCACTGTAGAGAAATGACGTTTTGTTTTTGTTTTCTCACAAGCAAATGATCATGGCCTAATGACTAGAATCACAGAATTATAGAGCTGGAAGCGATCCCAAGGGCCATCGGTCCAACCCCTGCAGGAATATACAATCGAAGCATTCCCAACAGATGGTCATCCAGCCTCTGTCTAAAAACCTCCAAAGAAGGAAACTCCGAG